AGAATCTATTGGAAATCATTAAATTATTTTAGAATTTTTTAATAGGTATATGGTAAATAGGTTTGAATTTTGTACATTAAATTTTCTATAATGTTTAAATTTCCACTAATAATATATTTTGTTATATATGAACGAATTCGAAAAATTTAGTTTCTTCAGTGTGACATACATAATTGAATGTTTTCCTAAAGTTTTGCTATATAGTCAAAAATAGTGTCTCTAGAGCAGTGTTTCTTAACCTTTTTGATACAATGGACCCCTTTTAAAGTTTAAGAAGTCACGAACCACCCCTCTGAGAAAAAAAATTGCAAAAAAACATCAATTTTTAGTATTTAATTTATTTTAGCATTTCATTTTATTATTTCAATAGTATACAAAATATTTAAAATTAAAATTTTTAGTCTGAAGGTTGTTGCTGCTTTTCCTTAAATAATAAATTGAATAGAGGGATGGTTTTCGACAAAGCAACGCGCATAACATGTTCAACATTCAATCGATAACGATGTTTTGTTTTTATTGTCACAACTGTGGAAAGTCCGGCTTCGTTAAGATACACTGTAGCTAACGAAATTATAGCTGAAATCGCTCGCTTTACAAGCAATGGGTAGGCTTCTTTCACAGAAGACCAGAACTCTCCGAGTGTTTTTGAATCGAAATCCATTTTTAGCAAGGACTTTGTTCTAAGATCAATAAGCTCATCTTTGGCAAGGTTCATATCATCGATACAGTCAATATCACAAAGAAAAGGATGACGAATCCACAACTCATCTTTTATCTTTATCTCATCCAAATTAAAATATTTTTTCAATGAAACTTGAAGTACTTCCAGGTGTTCACAGATTTTATTTTTTAAGTTATTCAGTAACAAATTATCTTGCCAAGATCCATTTTCAGAAAGCACTTCGTCCAACATTTAAAAGTTTGCATATATCTCATTTTGAATTCTATTTTTTTCAAAGTGGCATCTTCAATTAGAATGCTTGTAATTTCTCAGTTGCATCCATAATGGTGATATCGGGTCCTTGAATTAAAAGACTTATATTGTTCATGTGGTTAAAATTATCTGCCAGGTAAGCCAATTTATAGGTAAAATCTTTTTTGTTTAAATATTCGAAGAATGAGTTATCTTTTTCTTCTAGAACAAGTGATAATTCGATCTTCAACATGAAAAATTGTTTCAAAACCTGCCCTCGTGACAGCCAGCGCAATTCCGTGTGGTACAGAAGTACCTCATGTTCTGCGTCCATTTCTTGATCTTGACACACCGTTTTAAAGAGACGATGATTAAGAGCTCTACGTCTAATAAAATTACGTTGATAATATTATTTAATATCTTCAATATTATTGATATAATATTGAAGATATTAAAATAACTTTTGATAATACTTCTTTTAAGCTGGTTGGAAGAGTTTTTGTAGCCTGTTTATGTAAAAAAACAATGAGTAACAAGAACATTAGGAGACTTTTTTTTTACCAACAGGGCAAAACCAGATTTATTGCCAAGCATCACAGGTGCTCCATCTGTACGAAGTGAATGAAGTTTTTCTTTCCAGCCGAAGTCTTGTTTGGTTAAGAAAACATTTAACATTGCTAAAACATCAACTGTCTTTGTAGTTTACAAAAGAGACTCACAAAATAAAAATTCTTCTTTGATAGTGTCAAGATACACGTAACGAACAAAAACAAGAAGTTGACTATAATTCGAGATATCTGTAGTTACATACTAAAGGGAAATGGCGATACTTACAATTCATCGATGATCTTTTTCAAGATATTGCAAGAAATTTCAACTATTCTTGAATGTGTCACATCATTTGAAAATGGAATTGCCTCAAGTTTTTTTTCTCTGTTCCAATCTACAAACTAATTCAACCATCTTCAGCGCATATGGCTTAATTAACGTCTCTCCAATAGTATGCGGTTTCTTGCTTTTAGCAATATGATATACAACTTTGAGAGATTCCACAACCAGAGGTTTTTGAGGAATACCAAATCCAAGTTTGTCTAATGTTCCAGATTTCAAAAACTGGGCTTTCTTCTTAGTAATAAATTCTAGATCTAGTAACCTGAACAAGGTGTCAAATGTACGTAGCTTGATAGGGAATAATAAAAATAGTACAGCGGCCGTCATCCTGATGGTGCAAACTGAAAGCCGGTTAGTGGAGGATGTTGAAAATATGACAGAGATATTAGAGAGCTGTGTGCAATCCGTACTGAATTTGGGGTATCTTGATCACCTAGTTTCAAATATGCATGTATTTTCACCTTTTAGAAAGAAAAAAAGATCAATGTTATTTAAATATTGATCCAAACGTTTTAAAAATTAGGAGCAGTCGGTGGACCCCCAAAACATGACCCATCGACCCCTAAGGGGTCCATGAACCACAGGTTAAGAAACCCTGCTCTAGAGTAATTAGCTCTTAATTGTGTTCTCTTAATTGCTAAAATTTTCCTTTATATTTGGTAAAATTTTACTCATTTCAGCTTTCACAAGATTAAAAAAAAAGAAAGAAAAAAAAATGGAAAAATAGAAAAAAGAGAAGTTGTTAATAATATCTTGAAACCTATCGATGTCATTATATTTAAGGGAGGAAACAAAATCTTTCATTGGCTTATTATAGAAATTTTTAATAAAATATCTTTTTCATATTAAATATGGAATTTACTTTTAAATTGTCAATTTTAAGATAGTTTCTATCTCTCTAAATCCCCTCCATTTCTACGCTTATTTTTAATGTGAAAAAAGAAAAAATTGAGGTAATACACAACAATACTGGAGGAGACATTTTCTATTTTTAAATTTCTTAAAAAATTTCTTAAGAAATACTTAAATGATTACTTTGAAATTTTAGAGGTGTTTATTTCATGTAATTTTTCATACCAAGCAATAAAGGTTTAAAGTTTTCAGAGGTTTGAGGACAGACAATAAATTACGAAAAATAGCCATTATTTTTAAAGAATTAAAAAAAAAAAAATCAAGCAATAATCAAGAAAATTCAAGCTTGTAACTTGCATATATTACTTTGGTTGTTATTTGCAGTACTGCAAAGAGTTTCGTATACCTAGCTTAAATATTTGTTAAAATATGAATTTGATAGTAAAAAAAAATTCTAACATATTCTGGTATATTTTAAGAATATTCTGCAAAATTAACAAATTTTTGGATTAATTTATATTTGATACATATTCTGGATAGCTGTTAAGCAATTTTACGGAAATGATGAAACTTACTTACAGGATTCTCCGTCTCATGCTTTTATTAAGGATTGATATCTTGATGTAAAACATCATCTGCTCAAAGTACCCTTAAAAACATTTGTGTCACGAATTAGGGTTAAGAATCTACTGTCCTTGCAGCAAATCTGGTAACAAGAAGGGTTGTCATTGCAGAACATGGAGGAGCCCCCTTATTAGATTATGTTTTCTTTCCTAACATTTTGCTGTCCGGATTTTATAGGGAAATGTAATTTACCATAACTACAAAAAGATATTTGTGGAACATTTTGTGCTTTCTTTTAAAAAAAGCAAGGACTACTTAGAAAATTGCTCGAAAATTTTTAAAATATTCAAATTAGACTTGTTTTATTTGTTGATTCACTACGAAACTGTAAAAAAAAAATTATATATATATATATAGGGGAGAGTCGGGTAGCCCCGCTCACTTAAGGAGTATTGCTTATATTTCTGTATAATACTGAGTAACAATTAACATTTTTGTATGTTTCTATTGTTTTATCATCTAATTAAATAATGCAAAAAGAATAAACCAAAAAAAGAATAGTTAAACTTAAAAAAATAGAAATTTAAAAAAACATGTTTTTCAGCTCTTTTACAGTTACAAAAATTATGTTTTTTGGCTATTTTTTCAGGTGTAAATGAGAATGACCAATGTATTGACAATAGATAAACCTCATTTATCATTTTTATCACAAAATTATTTTATTTATTACATATTTATATGCTTTTAGTGAATTCTATCATTTAATAACAACAATTGTCATACTTTTTATCATTATTAATGTATATTAATATATCATAATATTAATATATACTTATATTAAATATTTAACGAAAATAATTTAATTTAAGTAACAATAATTAATAATAATAGTTGTTTTTCAATATAAACTTATTTGGTTGATCTCTTCTTATAAACTTAATATAAAATACATCTTATAAAATTACAAATTCACATTGTATTTTGATTGCATTCAAATGCTTCTGTAGATTGATTCGTTCACAAATAAGTGAAAATAAATAAGTAAGCAAATAGCTTGTCATAATATTTATGATTTCTTGATATTAAATTTGATTTGGATATATCAATTAACTTTCAAAAATATTTAATTTTTCATTTTTAAATATATAAATTTATGTTTCATATAATATTAAAACATATATTTGTTGTTAAAAATGCATATAACATTCAAATTTGAAGCAATAAAATAATAATCTTTGCAACCGTACATTTGTCGACGAAATAAAATTGGGCGGTGATACCCGACATTCATGTGAGCGGGGCTACCCGAAATCCA